TCATAGAGCAAAAGTTACAAGAGTTGAAAAATGACAGTTTAAGCATTCACAATGCTAGTTTAGCCAAGGATACAAGTGCTAATAAAACAAGTACCCCAGATGTTCGATCAGATAGGAAATCAAAAGATTCAGGTTTTGCATCAGGGAGATTTTCTGATATAGACTTTCACGGTGATGTTAAACCGAAAAAGCATCCCATAGGAAAAGTTTCTTGGGAAGATGAAATGTTGTTTGGTACAAGTAGTGTTCCTTCCGATGAGGGCAAAAGACCTGGTTATTTAATGTCAACACCAGTCTCTGGAAGTGCAAAAGAGTCAAACATTACTAATCGCCGAAAGGATCGTCGATTTAGTAGACAAGATACAGAGACCGATATCAGAACGGCAACAGAGAAGAAACCACAGATCCATATAAAACCTGCAACATTTGATGGTACGGGATCCTGGTTAGATTACCGTTCCCATTTTGATGCTTGTGCCATGTTGAACAAGTGGACAGAACAAGAGAAAGGTTTATATTTAGCAGTTTCCTTGAGAGGACAGGCTCAAGGTGTACTGGGGAATTTGCCTAACACACACAAGCATGACTATGTCTTACTTGTGAATGCATTAGAGGAGAGATTTGCACCCTCGAATCAAAATGACTTGTATAGGACCCAGCTGCGAGAACGCCGACAACGAGCAACGGAAACTTTACCAGAACTGGGACAATCCATAAGAAGACTCACAAGCTTGGCATACCCAACGGCGCCAAGAGATGTACAAGAAACGCTGGCAAAAGAACAGTTTATTGATGCCCTCCAAGATGCTGACATGAGATTGAGAATAAAACAAGCAAGGCCATTAAATCTCAATGATGCTATTCGACATGCTGTCGAATTGGAAGCATTTGTTAAATCTGATCGTAAAATGTTCGAAAAACAAACCCACTTACGACCAATGCAGTCAGAGAAAACTGAGGGAAACAAGAAAGACAGATCAGATCAGATCAGCACAAGTATATTGGTAGAGCTAAAGGATGAAATAAGAAAACTTCGTAAGGAAGTTAATGACATGAAAACAAAGAATTCCCAGGATGTTGTATACAAAAAGAAAGTTGGAGCTACCAGCAATAGACGCTGCTATTTGTGTGGATCTCCAAATAATTTCCGATATGACTGTCCACAAGGTTATAGAACTCAACAAAACGCAGCAGCACAAAAGAAATACTCATATAATACAAAGAAACATCCTGTACAAAACACATTCAAATGCATCACGTCTTACAAAGCTCAAGTTGGCGTAAACCAGATAGACCCTGAAGCTGGAATGTACGTAAAAACTACCATCCTGGGGATTGAAGCGAATTTGCTTGTTGACACGGGAGCAACACTATCAGTATTGTCCAGTAAAGTAAATGAGGCTATACAAAACAAACCAGTTTTGTACAAAACCAATCAAATAGTCTCTTCTGCATGTGGGACCGACTTAACTGTGAAAGGAAAACCATGTTATCAGCATATGTAAATGAGCACCATACGGATTGGGACGAACATCTCCCATACGTAATGATGGCATACAGAGCAGCAGTCCACGAATCAACTGGCGCAACCCCAAACAAAATGATGTTAGGTAGAGAGGTCGCTACACCTCTGGATATCGTATACGAGGTCCATTCTGATATTAAGAGAATTCCACAGAATAGATGGGTTTGGGAGTTACAAGAAAAATTAGAAGAAGCACACGCAGTTGTCAGGGAAATGACAAAAGAGAGAATAGAACGACAGAAGTGGTACGATGATAGAAAATTAAACTGGCAGTCATTTAAGCCAGGGGACAGAGTTTACGTTTACTTCCCAAAACGTAAGACTGGTACATCTCCCAAATTTACATCATATTGGCAAGGACCATTTGAAATTATTGAGAAATGTTCCAATGTTACCTAATATAAGGTAAACTGTGGATACAGGGGTACAAACCAAGTCATTCATACTGACAGAATAAGGTTAATGAAAGACCAATTCCTAACATCGGAACCTTTGCAGGAAACAAATATTGCAGAAAATACAATGTCTGATTCCTCTGAAGACATTGCTGAAGATGCTGAGGAAACATATGAAAAGGAGCGTTTTCAGGCAGATGGCAAACGAAAGAGGAACAGACCAGCTTACCTAAGTGATTATGTCTCTTTCTGAATATGTAAATAAAAATTAGTTGGGTAGAAAATACTACTGCAGTTTTAAAGTTCAATGTTTTCCTTATCATACTTTTATTTACCTATGCGAGGACGCATATTTTTTTCGAAGGCGTGGGTAATGTAATGAAACAGAAAATCATAGTGGATTGAAAAGTATGTGAAATCGACCAATCGAATCACTTTATATTTAACCAATCAGTGCTTGATATTGTAGCCAATCAGAGTTCGCAAATTTTCAACCAATCATTAGTTATTTGAAACAGTATAAATACAGACACCCATGAAGCAATCGGTTACTTGGTCGTTACTCATTGTTTGAGTAACACCTCCTGGACTAGGTTCTTGGGCTGTGTCGGGAAACAACAGAATTGTTAGTTAAACCACTCAGCTCAGGAACCTAGTTCCTTAATAGTGTGTCTCAGTGACTATAGTGTCTTGGCGACTTAAAATAGTGTCTTGGTGACTTTTAATAAAAGGTGTCTCAGTGACTTTTAGGGTGTGTTTTTAGGTAGTTGCAGACTGTGTCGGGAAACAACAGGATTGTTGGTTAAACCACTCAGTCTGCAACTACAGTGTTATAACTTCATATTTGATTATTTGCTTGATCGTTAGTGATTCAATTGTGGTTGATTCTTTTCTTATAATTCGTTGTCGTTAAGTTCATATTTGTTTGCTAATCATTTATCCAGATAGGACAGAGGAAAAAGTATATACGCATAGTGAATTTCAGTCAGTTTCTTGTTATAGTGCCATTGTTGTTGAAGTTTGTTTGATTCATATTATAAACGTGATACTTAGGAAGGAATCCTAAGCGGACCTATCAAATAATTATTTGTACTTTGTAAAAACGTTACATTGAACTTTTAAAAGACATTATTTTTAATGAATATCTGCAGCATACATCACGTGAATACATATTTTTACATGCATTACTATAAAGAATGAATAATTTGAGTATAATTTCTTATGAAAAAATTTAAAAGACGACAACGAAACCTTTATATTTACGTATTTCGTATATTCGTAGAGCCTTGAACTCGTCAGTTCTTAGTACTTGCACATAACTCGCATGTATGTCATATCCAATTACATGTATATTCAAGTATGTATTAGTATAGAAATTCACAATAAAAGGTACTTTAGACAGTATACAAAATATAAATTTTAGTAATGTTATTTTATTCAAAGTAAAAATCATGAGCAATCATACTGATATACAAAAGTTGAAAATGAAAAGAAAAGGCTAAGGAGTATTTTGAAGAAAAAAAAATCTGACGGAGAGAAGGCCTATTTGAAATAGTTTCCTTTCAAAAGATGTAGTATGTGCAGAAAATACATTTAAGAAAATCTTCATTATAAAAACGTTATTTTAAAAAAACTCAGTTATTTTTATTATTCTTATATATCCAGAAAACATATCAAGCAATAACAGAGAAAATCACATTTATGGATGTTTGAAAAATGATTTTTGATAGTTTCCTTTAAAATCACTTGGAAATGAAGAGGATCGACAAACTCGGCGTTCACATAAATCTTCATCACAGAACTGTAGAAGTTCACTCTCTTTTTCACAAATAATTCTGAGTAGAACTTTCATGACAATTGGAACTTGAAATGAATATAAACCTTCATTTTCATCGACAAACGTACTTCTCAGATTATTAAATGTTTGCTGTAAATTCTCTTTCCAATTTGAATTCACGTTTTCAAGTCCCGTTAATTTTTCAACCATTGCCGTATTCAAATTGCTAAACGTCAGCTTTCCACCATGGAGAGCAAGTAAAGAAAGAGCAATAGCTTCCATTTTTCTATCTAAGTTCATTTCATCAAGCATATCTCTCAGATATTGTCGCAACCACGACATGGGAGTTTTCATAAATCTTCCACATTGGTCACGGAACTCCTTTTGACCATAGAGTTTACAATACAATGCTATAACTGCTGTATATCCGATGCCTTTTTCCACTAAGGTTTCAAAGCTACCAGGAATGTTGAATTCAACCATTAATTTAAAATCCTGATCTTTTAATAAGACTGATGGATTCTGCTTTGTTGAGTTTTGTTTTGCAATTTTATTCGTGTTCAAATGAAACTGAAGTATTTCTTCTCGATCCAGTAAAGAGAGGTTATCGAGATTAATTATATTTGTATATTTCCTCTCCTCAAAAATAGATCTGTTTCTTCGAAAAATTAAACTTGTAATTGTGAGTATTATTCTCCCATTACGTTTTGCCACAACATTTTCATACAAGGAATCAATCTTTTCTTTTATTTCTCTAACCTTGTCTTCTGACATTAGTTCATGGAATAAATCATCAAGAACAAATGGGCTTTCAAAATTTGAAAGTACAGTGAAAGCATTCGGATCAGTTACCCAAACACATTTTTCCTCTGTTAACCATTCATCGCAGAGTCTTTTAGCTAGATATGTTTTTCCAGCTCCTTGTATTCCTGTTATGACGACAAATCTTTCTGTACGAAGAGCTCTTTGTGCTCGAGAAAATGACCTTTCATCATCTGGTTCAGGTGTATCCAGCATTGCTATGCCTTCTTCTGGGTCCTTTTCGTTTTTGTTCTTTCGTCTCCCTGAACACATTTTAAGAATGAATTGAGATTTTATTCTACATAAGCATTATGAAATAAATTGCTAAACTAATTTTGAAGGTGCGGGAAGGGAAGGTTGTTTTATTTCCAAATCAATTGCACTAGAATGGAATATGTTGAATAAAAATCAGTCACAAATACGTCGACAGAATAATTCCAGTCCATTATTTCTAGCCAAACCCGCAGTAAAAACCACCATGGTCCGGCAGATCTTGTATAAAAAAAGCATTTCTGTAAAATTCCACAGATTCACGTTTTATTTTACATGTGTACATGTACCATATATATTATAATCGTGTGTCATCCCAGCATTATACAGTAGTTATAAAGCATCTGCTCTAGAGTTACTGAAAAATAAACTCATTCTTAGGACGGAGTTTCGAATCCACTGAGGGAGACCCGTCCTTCGGATGTGATCTCTGAGGTGAGACTGTATAAAAATAAATCAATAGTCATAGTTTTTGCTCGAAAAAGATCCCCAACTCTCAATGGCAGTGAGTACCAAGTATATGCATAAATTTTTATCTCTCCTTTCGCGTCTCTATATTTTTAAAATTTCACAAAAGGGAATCTATCATCAAACAATCAATGCGTCTGTATTGAAAATGTTGGAATATTTGAGAAAACGGCATGGAATATTTAATTGCATCACCGGTCTAAATGTAAATCATCACTTACTTTTTAAAAGAATACATAGCAGAACAACAGCGATGATGCTCACAAGTACCACAGCAATGATGATGCCAATTGTTATACCAACAGAGGCAGCGTTACTAGAAGCATCGGTTGTATGGTCCACAGAAGGAAGTGTTGTCGTACTCCATCTACAAATATGTGTGCATTTATTTTCTTTAGCTCTTTATCAGTTCTGTCTTATCTTTTTACGCTTTATTTCAATTCTTGCGAATAGAAAGAGAAAAAAACATGAAAGAATGAAAGAGGACAACCAATTACTTGATACATTTGAAACATATCACTTGCCTCTCATTGCCATATTCCCTACAGTCCAAATCTAAAACAAATGATATGCAAATAAAACATTACAATAAAAATAATAATTGGCATGAAAATGAAATAATCTTAATTTGAAACTCTTAATTCTTATCTTAACTCAAAAGTACATTTTACATAAACCGCCATTTAGGTTGTAACAGAAAACATATGGCTTGAAACGTAAAATTATTAAGAGCTTTTTTAATATTGTATGTATGATACATTGTACAAATGTAACATAAATAAATTTCACTGAAGCAATATTGATTTATATCAGAGTTGATAATACAAATCTGAAGAATTTCACAATAAACATATCAATTGCAAAATAAAACTCACACATATGAACAAATGAAGACTGGAAAACTACATCTGGACAGTTTTCTCCAGCACATCGAACTGTATCTAATTTGTTTGCGACAGTGTTAAATTCCGGGCACCGACCTGAGTTGAAATGAAAACTAAATTATTTAATATGAAAAAGGTAAAATCAAATTAGTCAAATTGATCAAGTACAGATTAATTCTTCGAATGCATAATGGGTTTATGTTTTACGCATCAACCACTTAAGGCAAATCCGCTAGAGTGCTCGTAAGTGAATACTTAATTATGTCTGTCACAAATAAATAATGCTGAAACTTTTAAATCTGCTATCTAATGCAACCAGTTGAAAAATAATTGATAAAGGGGTTGAATCCTGTTATCAGAAATATTGAGAATTTTTTTGTCAAGTATGTTTTTAGAGTCTACACACTATATATACCGGTCAAGCTAGTGGTAGAGCGTTCGCTTCGTGATCGGGAGGCCCGGGTTCGATTCTCGTTCGCGGCGGCGCGTCATACCTAAGACGTAAACAAAGGTAGTGACTGTTCCTTCGCAAAGCGCTCGGCACTAGAAGTGAAAGTCACGGGTCTTTCGGATATGACCTTAAAAACGTATGCCCCGTGTCACGGTAGGCGCTGGCACGATAAAGAACCCTTACTACTCAATGGCCCTGAATGCCGAGTATAGGTCAAAATTTGACACCCTTCACCGGCATACGGTGACGTCTCCATATGAGTGAAAAATTCTCAAGAGGGACGTTAAACAATATACAATCAATCAATCTACACACATAGCTTATTAATAAAATAATCACAAAATTAGGGTTAGTGCAATGTTTTTAACACTACATGGGTATTTTGAAATGTTATTGCATCTAAGAGTTTAACAGATAAATCATTTTTTCATAGTTTTTTTTCTTTAATATATATTTTTAAAATTGATATTAAAATTAAACATTAATCATATTAGCAAACACAGTTTTTTTCTTCATCTTGACTAGTCACATTAAAATTTGTGACAACACTAATGGTTTTAGACAACTTCGCACAGTCCATTTTTGACCTTACTGCACTCAAATAATGGTATTTATCTGACGTTAACGAATTAAAGCGCAATGAAATCATTTAAAAGTAATGGCATTTTTCTGCAATTAAAAAATGTTTAAAATATCATTTATCAGAAATTGAAAGAAAAAGGGGGGGCAATATTACTTTGAAGATATTATTAAAAGATGTTAAATTTAAGGTTAAATTGATCAACAATCTGTTCAAAGGCTGACGAGCGAACATTTTTAAAAAGTAAAATAATATTTTTTTGTGACAAAATGATGTCCTTTTGTGACAAAATGATGTTGTTTTCCAGCAAAAAAAGATGTTTTCTCAATGAATATACATAAAACGTGAAAGCCAAAGAACAATCTAGAGTAGAAGTTATAACCAATATTGAAGTTTTTTTAAAAAGTTGATCAAACTTAAATGTCACTGTCAAATAGTGAAAATCATAGAAAATGAATAGAGGTCGTCGCATGTAACAAACATGTGAAATATAAGAAATTTAAAAGCTCTAGCACTAATAGTTCAAAAGTTATAATCAAATCTTTTTCATGAAAGATCAAAATCACCCAGGCCAAAGGTTTAAATTGCTGATTTCAAAACACAAATATACACCATTAATATAAACTGTTAAACCCCAGTTCTACTCTTTAAAAAGATAAAATCAGAGTAGAAAATTTTGAAAACCTCTAAGTTTAAAATCAAATGTTCATAATATTTTACTGTGGGAAAAAGTTTTCTCTAAATTATTTCATATATAAAGTATGAGAACCTAAGCTCTTCTGAAAAAATGTTTGAAAATAAGCTCTTTCCTTAGAAAAAGTCTCGTTGCAAGGAATACACATATGGAATATATTAGCCTTAACCTTGAACGATCAAAAGTTATGGGCAAGGTTAATGTTTTGATGACAAAATGACTAACAGACAGATTGACAAGTCAGTAGCTCTTATCTCTGAGTATTTGATCACAGGAACATAAAATGTACATTCACTTGTATTATTGATTTGCCAAATTTTCATCATAACTCATGTTATAGGTTCAAATAAATGGTAATTATTATTCATATATCGTATTAAAGAAAACCTACCAGCTTCCACCCATATTGGATCCGCGCATATCCAGCCAGATCGACCAAATTCATCGTTTAAACAATGATATCTATTGGGGTCAGCACATAACTTCCTTGCAGTCGGGACCCAATTTGTATAGGGACACGTCGTGTTTATTGAATTGAACATTCTTGTTTGCTTAAAAAAAATAAGGAATGTACATTAGATGATGCCTTAGGTAGGAATTGTAAACATTAAAATTGGTTTTAAAAGATAAGTTGAAATTCTGTCCATGCCCCTTTAAGAATATTAAAATGCTAAAAAAAACTTGAATAATTATAAAATCGTCGTATTTTTAAAATAAATAAATATATCTCCTCACGATATGAGGGAAAAAATATCTACTTACATATTTTAAGTCGATCCATCAAATTTGTAAACAAGTTCAGGGTCCAGCTTATAGCACGAGATAAGTGCCTGAAATGAAGGCCATTTAAAACACTCGCTTATCATGTCGTCTACCAATGTACATTTATAAGAGCTTCGTTTTAAAAATGCACCGTTTACAAATTATTTAAAAGGGAGGTAAAATCATGTTAATTGTTGTACAGTTTTCACTTGTAGATCCTTTATTTATCCTTTATTACTTTTTGATCCAATTACGTTTACTTAATAAATGTAAAATATAAATATCTGCATGAGGTGACGGTGCTTTATTTCATGCAAATTAATTTCAAGGTTAAAATTTGAATGAACATTATGTTATTGATTAAAAAAAGACAATAAGCATCATAGACATATTCAAACACAATAAAAAATACACGATTAAACATACATGCATTATGTAAAATATCCATAATCAAAACATGTAGCAAAACCATATTTTCATCACATTCCAAGTTTACAATGTTGTGCGGAGAGAGGTTTCTCATGAAACAAAAAGTAAGAATACATTGAATATAACGGATGGAGGCCTTCAATTGTTTTGATTCCTTCAATTACATCCTTTATAATATACAGTATTTTCAACATGTTCAAGTTCTTTATATATTAATTTTCGAACATTTGAATCAGATTTACTCGTGTTACAAAACAAATACTTTAGTATTTTTATTTCTTTATAACAATTTAGAAAGTAGTACTAAGTATTTTTAACAGAGATTTTTTAAAAAAGTGTTTTCAATACTTAAATGTGAACGACACTGAACCTTTCTTTTAAATTTGTTTATATCCCATGACCATGATTTTTTTAATCCTATGTAGTGCAATTATTTATGCATATAGTCTTAACATTTACTTCAGACAATGAATAATTAAATATACAAAATAAATACATGTATTATTAAGAAAAAAACTTCAAACTATTTTCTTTTGATTCTGTGCAACAATTTTTGTTTTCAATAACACGAATGTTTGCTTGATTTGTCCACTGAATTCTAATCATACAAATTAAAAACTGTTATTAAGGAAAATATCAAATACAAAGAAAAATAATAAAATTCAAATGGTATTTTACGATATCAATGAAAAGTTTAGAAAACAAATAAAAAATATACAATTCAATAGATAATTATACAATTATAGTGAAAATTATAGAATACAAAAAATAGAATTCAAGTGAAGAACTATACTATACCATAAGATACACATGAAATGAAAAAGTGTGAAGATAAACAGTAGGCCCTGATTGATTTTAAAACTTTCAATAAAATAGGTAAATATGATATGTTCGCGTATCATGGAAAATTTCAGAACTCGTTTCAAGTGCCTAGGAGACGTAAGCATCTCCTGTTGACAAATCACTTTCACCGGGAGCCATATAGAAATTTATAAAGTACCCAGAACATTCAGAGATTGGTGATTTTTACTAAAAAAAAGTATTTATTACGACTGTAGACGAAATACAGACTTTAATCGAATTTGTTGAAATTCCTGCTGCATCAACTTACATGCGAGAATCTTGCTTGCATAAAACTTAATTGTACTCAGATTATGCTTTTGTGATGCTATAATATTGGGAAACATTATAACTGTATGTAGGTAATGGTGAAAAAGAACAATATTTCATATGTAAACAGAAAAAAAAATCAATGGGAATTCTTGTTTTTAAACCATACATTTTAGTTCATAGTAATTGTATAAAGACAGTTAAACATTGAAATATAAAACAAAATTTTATAAAAATCTGATGTTTTGTTTGTGTCAAGCTGACAAGGATATACTGAGTCAACATATTAACGGAAACAGCCATAATGACTGTTAATTGATCAATTTTAATATCAAGTTGAAGGACAAAGCAAGCGGTTTCTAATTCTGTGTAAACGTGTTTAACAGATACTCTTTCGTAGGTATAAAACATTGTAATCGAAAATAAACAATACAAATAAAACATCTAATGTTGCAACCATTGACGATTTGCAGATAACCGATATGAGCCTGATAATTGTCTTTGGTCCTATAACTGAAGGTTTACATGTGCTCTAAACTCTAACAATTAACTCTAAAATGGGAAACATCATTTATCACATATGTATGCATTTTTTAAAAGCAGTGATTTCCTTGTACATGTAATACATATTTTACTGAATTTGATTTTATTTTCTTTACAAAAAAGCGATAAATTCTATTTATAGGAAAATATTAACAGCTGCACGCAACCTACCTCGTCAACCTCGGCAAGTCATCTTGACACTCTAATTTTTCATATGCACACAAGGCAAGAGAAGAATGTTTTGCAAGGAAAATCAAGGAAAATGAGCAAATTGATAATGGTAATCAACAACAACTACCATTATTTTACGTTAAGCAAATGAATTGGAACGTTAACTCTTATGAAATTTCAATAACTCAAATGAATTTTACAAAATCGAAAATGTTGGAAGAACAATAAGTGTTCTGGTTCCTTAATATAGTGAATGCGTTGTCGTTTTTTTTATTATTTAGTTCTTAAACTTTTTTGATATAGTTTAAGTGCCCTTATACTTGTAACAATCGAGATCTTTAGCCGAAAAGTCGATTGAACGCAGAATAAAGTATAAGCAACGTTTCCTTCGCCATGTTTTCATCGTAACTAAATAGATGATTGTAGGTTTTTTGGATGAGAGATTTAAAACACAGTGACAGACTTCCTGATACAACAAGTGTTGAACCCTTTGACATTCTGAACTATGTGGATCAAGCAATTGCAATAGTTTTAATGTCTAAATTTGGTGTCCTTAAATGGAAACAAGTAATGTCTTTTATAAGTGGCCTTATCTTATAAGGGGAAAACAATCTAAACAGTAAATTATATGTAACTACATGTATCAATCATTATACTTGTTATTTGATTGTTTGCCTTTTATACTTACATCATTTAGACCAATTGTACTTTTTTAAGCAGATTGGTGAAAAAGGCAAGCGAAATGTCTGCAAAGAAGGTAAAGAATTAAATACTGTAGACCAACTGTTATTCCCGACGACTTTATTTCGCGATATACCGTGGTAAAACAGATTGCGATGATTAATTTTCGCGATGAAGCCTTTTTGGATCTCTTGGTAAAGGACAAAAAGACATTAAGGACCGGTTCGCTGAGAGAAATATTTGCGATGACAAGGTTCTCGCGAACCTCGTGAAAATTTCTCGCACGCGAATAAAAGTTGGTTTACAGTATCAGTTATATTGAACTGTTTTTTTATATTTCTTCTAACATTAAACTACTTTATGTAAGATATCTGAATCTGTTAAAATCTAGTAATTGTTGGAAATGTTTGCCATGCAATGCAATAGGAGACACAAACTAAAAAGGGCAAAAAGCACCAACTTCATAGATACTTGTTACACATTTTTTAAAAATATGATTGAACATTGTGCAAAGACACATTTTTCCTAAAAGTACACTTTTACATGTATGACAAATAATTCCCATTTTCTACAAAATAAGTCTATTAAGTCAAGTAATATATAAAAAACCTGATTTAGATATCACCATTTATCAGGAGCTTGACGTGTAGCATAGCGGTAAGCATGTACACTGTAAGTATCAAAGAAATATAGGCTTCCAATGAATACCTGATTGGTTTTTTTTTATTTTTTCTAAATTATAAAAGAACATTTTTTCCCGACAAATACTTTTCACAGGGAAAATTTGTTTTTTATTATTTTATAAATTTCAACAATAGGTTTATTCTAAAATCACGAATTGAATATGATTGTTATATATCCGATAAACTTGACGTCAGCACGTGTATCCTGTTCTTCCAACTATTTATAAAAATGTTTCTAAAGTGGGACTTAGTAGATGATATGCAGGTTTTTTAAATGCATTGAAACTGGCAAGCAAACATCACGCAATCTGATGATGAATAACAAACCATATAGTCAGTTCCCAATTTTTTATTCCAAAAGGTTGAAAACTCTCGAAATTAATGCAACGCAGAGAGGCTTTTAAGATCATTTGGCCTCTTGTTTTTGAGGATTCTTCTTCTGGAAACAAAACAATCATGCAAGTTTTCAGATCATCTTTTGTACGAAGTTTTGATTAAAAAAACCTCAATGAAGACTTCAACAAACAAATATCATGATAATATTATCATTTATGAATTGAAATTCGTACTTAAAAAGATACTAAAGTAGTTTTCATTGTTTTAATCTCCTAGAGACAATCTTTAAACACCACTGTTAACTTGAAAAGAAGAATTTCTTATCATTTTTCATGAGATTTTGTTTGCTTTCCCACAATGATATTCATTCTTTATCTAAACAAAAACTTATCAAATAATATTCCAATCAGAATAGGTGATTTTGAATTTAATAGTAACATGTAAGCTCCGTCTTGTGGCATAACGTCTTACATGGGACAAACGCTATGGCTGTCATCTGTCTAATAACCTTTTTTCTGGCTACAAACATTATAGTGGCAAATTGCATTCTCTTAGAAAATATTAATAACCATCAGCAAACAACGCCAGCAGCTCATCCTGATACTCTGGTTTTTCTCATGCAAGAAGTGATACAGATGAAGAATTCCTTGAAGCAAAATGCCGAGGAAATAAAGCGTTTGAAAACTGAACAAGAAGCTGGAAGGAATTCAAGCCTTGCTAATGAGATCAACAAACTGCATGCAGAAATATCTGTGCTAAAATTTACTGTTGAAAATGCTATCAGCGACCATTCGAGCTCAAATTTAGTCGGTGAAACAAACTTAACAGACGTTATGACGAAACTTCATACCGTGGAAAATGGCATTCGACAGTTAACTCTTGCCTTGAATGAAAAGGTATCAAGCGTGCAAATGACTAGTCACAATATAAAGATGGATGCAGTGCTGAAAAATATCTCAAATCGTGTGCATGCTGTAGAAAATGAAAAGGTGTCAGACATGCAAATGACTAGTCTTAAGGTACAAATGAATGCATTGCTGAAAAATATCTCAAATCGTGTGCATGCTATAGAAAATGTACAGCAAATTGTATCACAGATATCCAATCATGAGTCATCTGTGGACGCAATGATCCATAACTTAACAGAGCGTGTTCATTCCTTGGAATATGATAAGGTCCTTCCAGGTATGCTTATAAATATAAAGTTGCAACTGGTAATAGGATATACTCAAGTCTGCATGACACATGACCCTTCTTCATATAAAGTTTTTTTTCATAATTAACAATTTTAATCTATTAAAATATCGTCCCTTAGCATAGATTACGCTAGATAGAATGTTCAATCGTTAAAATGATATTGTCCTACGGACCCGGTTTAACGATAGAATTCGTTCCGTGTATTCGTAATGTAGCAGAAAGAAACACGGGCGATAACTCGCATAGTGCATTTAATAGGAACAATCTAGAGAGTTCCGAATGTAAACATGGCAGGTAATTTGAATCGCGAGAAAAACGTTGAGAAAATTAATTGGATTTTCGTATTTATATGGATTATTTTTTGGGATAAAAGGCATAAGCAATCTCAAGAAGGTTTGTTTTGATTATTTTGGTAGTTATTCCCAGTGAAAATCATTTTATATTCTTCAAAATCGTTTCGGAGCGGATCCACTCCGATTTGCTACATTACAAGTATATGGGACGTATTCTAACTGTGGTGAGGGCCTGTACCGAGACACAGTTAGATTATTCTAACTAAGATCACGCTTACTTTCATAATCCATACCTCACAGAAATTCGTATGCAGAGTAGACCTTTAGTTGGGTGGTAAAAAAAAAATAAAATTAGAGAAGATATTTTCCTATTTTTCATTTGTATTATTTACATAAAATTTAATAGGAGAGGACTGAAAATATATGTAAGTCATAATTTTTACCTGTCAGGGAATTTTTCCTACTTTCGATCATGAAGCAGTTAAGTGTTTAATTATATATTTTTACAGAAATCTATTTTTATAATAATTATCCAATCAAAATTAATCTCGAAGATTATTTGTCTGAATTTAATGGTGCAAAAATCAATAATTCGGTTCATTCTTTTGACAAAACATTTACTATGAGTGATTGAAACAGTTGATAGTTTATGAAACTGAATCAATGTTTTATACAGCCCGAAATACAGCATGTCTTAATTTATCATTTAAGGAAGAATCAGATTGGTAAATGGATCAACCAGTTGGATGGGGAGAGTTGAAGTGTCCTATAACGGGACATGGGCCACTGTACCTGGTTACAAGCACACTTCTGATGTCTATACTTTTGATGACAAGGCTGCCCAGGTAGTGTGTCGTATGCTGGGATATCCGACGTAAGTATTGTATTTGACGTTTTTCGTAACATCAACAACATATTTTGTATCGTAGACCACATGCACGTACTCTCCAAAGACTTGAATATATTTTGCTTAACAAGTAGAGCTTTTCAAAAAAGCTTACCGTCTTTAGCAACAATTTTAAATCGTAAACAGATCTATACTTCTTTTGAATTTCTTGATTTTGTGTTTCTAAATTAGCTTTTTACGGGCATTAGCCCTACCACGGTTGTCGCTCGGTCATCTCCGTAAACGTTGACTGGCCGAGAGCTTTCGGCAAACCTCGGCTGATTCCCATTCACTCTTCAAACAAGAAAGGGGAAAAGAATAATAACAAATTGTAAAGCCTGCAAGCAATAACTATCAAATTTTATTTATAATGAAATTAAAGAGACCTTTCTATTTATCTCTATAAAACATATCATGTTATTAAGAAATAATTAGGGTGAGTTCACCATGCATCGGACACATACCTTGCTTCGGACAACTTTAGGCAATAAACTCTCTTTCAACTTAAGAGTTCTGTGTATTTATTTGTTTTTGTCATAAAGACGAAGATTTAAATTTTTTAATGATACCGATTGTGTTTATCATGTTGTGATAAAAATACCCTGCAAATGGCCTTGAAGTTACGTCATATTTTACATCATCAAAGGGGAATAACCCGAAATTTATGATTTTGCAATTTTTAGAGTTATCGTTCTTTGAAATTCGACTTCCACGGAACAAGTCGGACTTTGGTGAATTTTGTCAGGGATTGGTAATTTTACATAAATTATAATTAAATTTCACTCCAATGTTTGTTTAATTCTTATCAGAGCTGGTTTTTACTAGGATGCTATTTTCACCACACACCGGACACAAATTAACCATGCATCGGACACTTTTCGATGCAAAGGTAAGCACTACCATTTTCATACAGAACCCAGCTGACAGCTGTTTTTTGAAGAAAAAGAAAATAAAAACTCTATATTTTCAGTCAAAATACAAGTTATCGATATATGATGTCTGGAATTTTACTCAATTTATTTCTACAAACCAGAGTATGATAAACCATGAGAAAAAGGCGCGAATTACGGCATTATAAGCATTTTAAAGCATTTCTAAGGCAGAGTGAGGTCTCGAGAATCGTTCTACATTTGTGCAATAATATCGTCGAATAAATTAAAGTTGAGGGTTATTTCTTATTTAAAAGATGAAAATATATCCATATCAAGGATTTTAAAGCACTGTGATAAAGGTATGATATTTTTCCGGTCTCCATACCGTCTGACCGATGCATGGTGAACAATGTCCGATCCATGGTGAATTTTCAATTTTTTCTAAAAACTCGATTTTTGGGGATATTTTCTCAATAAACGGCATATAATTGTGTCCTAAATTGTTATTTTAATCACAAACTAAATGTTAAACTCCATTTTGATAATTTTCCGTCGGTAGCGAAACCGCTAGAACTTGTTGAAGTACAAGGGTATCCGATGCATGGTGAATTCACCCTACTGCTGATTTTGTTGTTCGTTTTGTTATTTTTTTAAGATTGGAAATCTTGCAAAATTGTTAAGTCGTACGAAAAATATATCATCAGAAAGTTATCTCCCTTGCCTTGAACAACGTTTCAACCAATGAAATAATTGAAAATTTTCTCATCACGCAATTTCTACCAATCACAAAAGAGAGGAAGTGCATAGTCCGACGACTGTAAAAAACTTCAACTATACAATACCGTCTTCCAAGGAAGACGGTAACAACAAGTAGAGCTTTTCAAAAAAGCTTACCGTCTTTAGCAACAATTTTAAGCAGTAAACTGATCTATACTGAACAGGCCGTATAATTCTTTTGAATTTCTTGATTTTGTATTTCTAAATTAGCTTTTTACGGGCATTGGCCCTACCACGGTTGTCGCTCGGTCATCTCCGTAAACTTTGACTGGCCGAGAGCTTTCGTCAAACCTCGGCTGATTCCCATTCACTCTAGTCTCGTTTTCCCAAGACTCTCGCTCTCGAGACTTTGCCCGAGCGAGAGTCTGGTCTGAGTCTTATTTAATTTTTGTAACCAGTAGAGGTCGCTAAACCGGCTAACAAGATGGCGACTCCCATGAAAAACATGTGAGAATTTACTTTTTAAACAAAGATATATGCGTTTTTTGTTCCTTGTAAAGCAGAAAGAGGTATTTTATTATAAAACCAGATAAAAGTAAAGGCGCAGTCTCTATCTTTTTAAAGAATACAGATCTTAGCATTCGAAAAGAATGTATAAGCCAATAAAAATACATACCGATTTCTCGGTAAGCCTCGATTTGAAATTACAAAAATTAAATAGGAATCAGACCAGACTCTCGCTCGGGCAAAGTCTCGAGAGCGAGAGTCTGGGGAAAACGAGACTACATTCACTTTTCAAACAAGAAAGGGGAAAATAATGATAACAAATTGTAAAACCTGCAAGCAATAACTATCAAATTTTATTTATACTGAAATTAAAAAGACCATTTTATTTATTGCTATAAAAAATATCATGTTATTTAGAATTAATTACTGCTGATTTTGTTGTTCGTTTTGTTATTTTTTTTAAGATTGGAAATCTTGCAAAATTGTTAAGTCGTACGAAAAATAGATCATCAGAAAGTTATCTCCCTTGCCCTGAACAGCATTTCAACCAATGAAATAATTGAAAATTTTCTCATCATGCAATTTCTACCAATCACAAAAGAGAGGAAGTGCATAGTCCGACGACTGTAAAAAACTTCAACTATACAATACCGTCTTCCAAGGAAGACGGTAATAACTTTAATACAAGATACTGGGAAAATGTCAAAAATTCATTCTTATTATGACTCACAGTTCTAATAAATGTCATCATACATGTATTTAAAATATGCAAATTTATTATACATTTTTGTTGACCTTCGAGTCATCTCCGCAGTGTGGGATTATATCTTGCATTGACTTGCTTTCCGTACAGTCGAAAAGTTACTAAAAAGTTACTAAAATCGAAAACGTACAGGTGAATTAAAAACTAGAATTATCCCCGCTCACACGAGCATCAATGTTCTTGTTTTTATTGTTTTAATTTCTCTCAGAAAAAATGCTGCTGTTATCCACGAAACATCTCCATTACATTTTGGAAGGGGGTCGGGACATATTGATATGTCTCTTTATGCTCTCCATTGTACTGGACGTGAGAGCTCGCTCTATCAGTGCAGCAAAACAACAGATCCTATTCCATTTCAAGCGCATTACTATGATGCAGGTGTTGCTTGCAGTAAGTTAACGCAGTTTAAGAATTTGCTAGGACTTTCTCAGAAAAGTTTATATAATTTGTTGAAAGTAGTTTCAAAAAGGTTACATAATAAATTGTATTTACTGACAAGGTCATTGTATCGAAAATAAAACTTAGTCTAACGAAATGATGATTTGTCTTTTTGACAGTTTCTTTTTATCAAAGATTAGATATAGGCTTTATCTTTTCTGCAATAATCATCTTTTTAAACCTGATTTTACAGTGGACATTCGCCTGGCTGGTGGGTCATCTCCGATGAAT